GCTAATATGCAAATTCCTTAATAACAATGTGAGCCTAAATATTATACCTGAAGGGATTTGACCTGTATTTTAACAGGCAGGAGGTGAGTATTTTTAATTACATGTTAAAGTGTCGATATTGTTATGGTTGCAATCCATGTTTATATTAGACAAGTTAGATTGCAGATGAAACCTGGCTTGATAGATCATGTTTTAGTTTTGTTGATGTGTTGAAGAATTTGTTTTAACAATTAAATAGAAGTTTACTAAGCAAAAGAAATGAACGTACAATAGAATAAACCAAAGTCAAAGAGTTTTATACGTACAGTAAAAGTATAATTGCATTAATCCCAAACACTCCTCTATCAATTCCAAGAAAAAAACAGCTTCCCTTGTAGAGTATTCACACCAGAATCCCTTTCTTTTGCATCTTGATAACTTTAAGGTAACTGTGATTTAACTCCTTTGGAATCTCTGATAGCTTATTCTTAGAGCTCTTGTATACCTGAGTTTAAACAATACCATGGAAGAACTTTGAAATTAAAGGATAAATATTCTGAAATCATGGTGTTGCTTAACCTGGAATTAGTGTAGACCAGTGAACACCGGGGTAATAGATGAATAAGACTTAATCCATGTTAGGATATGGGAGGCAGATTTGGATGATCCTATATCTACTCAGGTTGGAAGATAGAAGACTGTATTGTAAGACTTTGGATTGTATTGGAATGCAGGTAGTTCTCCTGTAACACGATGGTTGTGTTCTTGTGCGAGCTCGTGCTATAGAAAATCACGCCATAGAAAATTGCGTTATAGGGAAATCACTATAGTGTACAGTAGAAGGTTTGCGTTATCCAAACAGCGTCCACTATTCATCAATCGAATTACAGCCAATTCGCGTTAATGAAACACGTTATAGCAGAAATACTTCTAGCCAATTCTAGAAATATCAAAGATATGGATCAGCATTTCAGCAGTAGGTAATCTGAAATGAGCAGTCTTAGTTGAGATGCTCATTTTTCCCATAGACCAAAAAAAAACTTGATTGAATTATTTTTGAAGAAGTGATGAAGAGAATTGATGAAGCCAGAGTGATGGACGTTGTCTATATGGACTTCAGTAAGGCATTTGACAAGGTTCCACATGGTAGACTGGTTAACAAGGTTAGATAACGTGGAATACAGGGAGAACTAGCTATTTGGATAGAAAATTGGCTAGAAGGTAGAAGACAGAGGGTGGCGTTGGAGGGTTGCTTTTCGGACTGGAGGCCTGTGAATATTGGTGCTCTGCACAGATTGGTGCTGGGTCCACTGCTTTTTGTCATTAATATAAGTGATTTGGATGTGAGTATAGCAGATATGGTTAGTAAATTTGCAGATGACACCAGAATTAGTGGTGTAGTGGACAGTGAAGAAGGTTGCCTCATGGTACAACAGGACCTTGATCAGATGGGCCAATGGGCTGAGGAGTGGCAGATGGAGTTTAATTTTGGATAAATATGATGTGCCACATTTTGGTAGGCCAAATCAGGGCAGGACTTGTACATTTAATGGTAAGTTCTGGGAGGTGTTGCCAAACAAAGGGACCTTGGAGTGCAGGTTCAAAGTTCCTTGAAAGTGGAGTAACAGGTGGACAGGGTAGTGAGAACCCGTTTGGTACACTTACCTTTATTGGTCAGTGCATTGAGTATAGGAGTTGGGTGGTCAACTTGTGGCTGTGCAAGATGTTGGTTAGGCCACTTTTGGAATACTGTGTTCAGTTCTGGTCATCTTACTATAGGAAGGAGGTTGTGAAATTTGAAAGGGTTCAGAAAAGATTTACAAGGATGTTGCCAGAGTTGGAGGATTTGAGCCAGAGGGAGAGGCTGAATTGGCTGGGGTTATCTTAGAGTTTTATAAAATCATGAGGGGCGTGGAAAGGGTGAACAGTCGAGGTCTTTTCCCCAGGGTAGGGGAGTCCAAAACAGGGCGTAGCTTTAAGGTGAGGAGGAAAGATTTAAAAGGGACCTAAGTGGCAACTTTTTCACACAGAAGGTGGTGCGTGCATGGAATGAACTGCTATTTAAAAGGAATCTGGATGGGTTTATGAATAAGAAGGGTTTAGAGGGATATAGGCCAAATAGGACTAGATTAATTTAGCATATTTGGCTGGCATGGAAGGGTCTGTTTCTGTGCTGTACATCTCTATGACTGTGTGGGAGTGTGGTTGGTAAATCCTCAATTGGTTGGAGGTAAGATAAATCTCAAGTATCTCCATTTATTGTGCATTGTGGACAATGATTGCCCCTCGTATTGAAAGATTCCTCTAACTTATGTCCAATTCAAAAATAGAACACATAGCATAGCGGTAGTGTCCTTACTGCCGGACAGGGAGGCCGGAGTTCAAGTCCCACCTATTCCAGAGGTGTGAGAGAACATCTCTGAACAGGTTGGTTAGAAAATAGGTTAAATACGAAAACTCAAATCACTGCACCTGTTGATTGGAATATTAATTAATCTGTATAGATGTCATTAAATTAATAACACATTTGTTGGTGTTCTATAAATTTAAGCATCATATTAGTATTGGAAAGAAAGCTTTGACAATATTCTTTGTCTTGCATTCATCAGGGCAGATGCAAGAATGGCATGCTTCTAAGGAAGCAACAACAGTTGAACAATGATATCGTGAATTTGGCTTTTGTTACACTTCTGTCTTTGGCATAAAAATAGTCATTGTGTATTGCTGATAAAAGATAACATGTTGCTTTTCATCTTGGTTATCAGCATGCAATGTTCAAGTTCGATATGACATTGTAGTATTTTCAACAGTCACTTATGACAATATTGATAAAATTCAGAATTTCATCTTGTAATTTTAGTATATTTTCCTTTAGACCTTCTTCTTACCCTAAATGTAGAGAGTGTACCATATTTGGCTCTGTGTATGTCATCAAGATGGCTAACAAGAAGTGTAAATTAGGCAGGTTTACGTAATCTCGGTCTGCTCCCAAACAGGAATTCCACCTATTGTTTCCAGCTGTTCCTAAAATAGCAATCTTTCAATTAAGTAATGTTTTAGCAGTCTTTATAGGTCAATTATATGGATGAACATGATAAACAAACCTGTGTATCGATGAGATATTTATGACTTGGGTTCAGCTGGTGATTCTTAAGAAGAAATCTTTCATGGGCTGTGATCATTGCTAGGAAGGCCAATGTTTCTCACCCATCCCTAATGGCTGTTGAGAGGGTGATTGTGAGCCAATGCCATGAAGCACTGCAGTCCATGTGGTATGGGTATACTAGGGGTTCTAGAAGGAAGAGAGTTCTTGGATTTTGAACCAGGGACAGTGAAAGAAATATGATATGGTTCCACATTGATAAAGTTAAGTTTAAAACTAATTTGGATAAATTTTGTAAGACGGCTTTGATCCTGTGTCACATTCATAACACAGGCCTTTTGTATAGTAAGGACCACAGCAACTTCTTTTGAGAAGGACTTCATTTACCTGGCGGAGAACTTTGAAATTGACTGAATTGTAATGGATATTTGGAAATGGTGTATGAAAACATCCGAAATTAACATTTCACTAAGAAATATAGTTTAGTGTTTTATGCTTTTGAAAAATTCTGTGTCAAATTATATGAAACATATAGGTTAAGAACACAGCTTGCGTGGAATGAGTGAATATTGAGTTCGGGGGCATGGACAAGGGTCAGCTAGGCTTTGTGAATGCTGGCCATTTCTACAAAATCTTTCCCTTGATACAATTATGTAAAACTACCTACTACTTGAAGTGAAAACAGAAATGCCTGGAAAAACTGAATAGATCTGACAACATCTGTGGAGACAAAGCACAGTTAACATTTTGGGTCCAGTGACGTGTCTTCAGAATTTTTTTTTTTTTTTTTTAAAAGTATGTTGAAGTTATTTTGAATGGATATCCCAAGATCGGTAAAGGTAAAAGAACAGCGTCTCCGAGTTCCCTTCCACATCTGCCATTCTATTCTCATTCCAGAAAATTGTGGAATTTCCAAACCTAACACCAAGCTGCAGCTTTGCCGCAAGACCAAAAGTGTTTCAAGAAGAGGGTCTTGTTAGAATAGCCAACAATGAGTGATAAAAGTGATCTTTGTTAACTTAAAGCATATGCTGAAACAGTTGCAAAATTTACTGTTGGATGACTGTGGGAAAGCAGTGGTCCAGTGGTATTATCGCCAGCCTATTAATTCTGAGACCTAGGTAATGTTCTGGGTATTTGGGTTTGAATCCTGCCATGGCAGATAGTGGAAGTAAGAATCTAATGGCCAGAAATACCAGGATAAACCCGTTTAGTTAACTAATGTCCTTTAGGGAAGGAAACTGCTGCCCTTGCCTGGTCTGGCCTACTGTGACTCTGGACCCATATGATCTGGGGTTTGACTCTCAACGCTCTCTAGGCAATACATGTGGGCCTGGCTAGTGATGACCACATCCTATTTTAAAAAAAAACTTGTTATTCATCACTTTTTTCTGAGCACATTTCTATTAAGGATATCACTTGGGCCTTTTGCGGAAATAATTTTGAATGAAGTTTTGACTGTGGTGGGGTTTGATTGACATTTTCCATTACACTTTGTTTTACATCACTCTGGTTTGAATTTTTCACTCCTCCACTCTTTGGAAGGAGGTAGTAAATGCTGTGTTGAAAGTCAGTGTGATGGCAGTAATTGCATCTGATCTACATGTATGTCATCATGTAGTCAGTTTTAAGCTAAAGAAAGTTAAACGAATGACCTATAGAGACGGGTAGTTTTGAAACATCGCTCTGCTAATATGTAATAGATGTAACAAAACTAAAATTATTCACAATTGGAAAACTGTTTTGAATGTAGTTTATAACTTTTAGAAATTTTCAGGATCTTGGAACTATAGTACTGTGCAATTTATATAACTAACCATCCTTGATCAATGTACAAGATGTATAATATTATTTGTTTGTGTGACTGATAGTGTGCAGTTCTGTACCCCTAAGTCTTGTGTTTTATGTTTCTTTTTAGGCTTTTGGTCAGGCATACAGCAACCAGAAGAAAGTAGCAGCTGATGGAGAGAGCCGTGAGGAGTCCTTGATTCAGGAGTCCGCTTCTAAAGAGGCATATTATGTTGGGAAGATTCTGGAGCTGCAAACAGAACTAAAACAGTTGAAAAATGTTCTCACCAATGCCCAGTCTGAAAATGATCATCTTGCTTCAATCACACAGCAGCTAAAAGAGGTAACAAAAAAGAATTGAATTGAATTTTTGAATTTTATTTTTTAAGTGACTGTGCAACTTTATCTGTTCTTTTTAAAATTTATTTTGCCATTTCTTTTAATCTTTTGTTGGCATGTACCAGTTTTCAGTGATGAGAACAATGCTGTTCTGTGTCATGCAACCAGAAAAAATACATATGTTGTTCTTTACATCTGCTATATTAGTTGATTTCTTTGGAGATGACTATGAAAGCACAAATAGTCTTACAAAATTCCTGGACTTTGGAGAGGAAGAAAATCAAGTATTTCTTTTCCAGGTTGCGATCCTGAAATCAATTCCAGAAGTGTAAGGATCAAATCAGTTACAGCATGGTTGAATAGTCCGTATGTGCTGTTTAAGTTTGGATTAAACAACAAAGGTTGCCACACAAGCTACTGCTTTCAGAATAAGAGTTCATAAGGAGAGAAAAGAAGAGGAGAAAGAAGCTTCTGTTCTCAGTTTTAAACAAGGTTGAGGCCAGTTTATTACACAAATCTTGCTGAAAGCAATAACATCAAAAGCACGGTCTCCACCTGAATCAAGCTGGGACCAATATTCTAGTGAAATGGGTAAATAGGCTGGTCAACAGGACTTTAAACTAGAAAGTGAGGGGGGAGGAGGGAATGGTGAAACTTGCCCCGGTGGGAAACACAGCAGCAGGTTAACATCTGTAGTAGTGGATTCAACTAAGTGGAAAAATATGAAAAAAAATGACAGGGAAGGAAAATTCAGGAGAGGTTATTCCAGCACAGACACAAATAGAACAGAGTGTTTGGAAAAGGCAAGCAATCAAACACTGGAAAAACAAATGAAGATGAGAAGAGGGAGGGCTAATTCAGGACTGAAGATGTTATATCTGAATGCACACAGTATAAGGAAAAAGGTGAGTGAGCTTGTGGCACAGATCGCAACTGGCAGGTATGACGTAGGCATCACGGAGACATGGCTGCAAGGGGATCAGGATTGGGAACTAAGTATCCAAGGATATACATCCTATCGAAAAGATAGGCAGGTGGGCCGAGGGGGTGGGGTTGCCTTATTAGTGATAAATGAAATTAAATCAATAGGAAGAAATGAAGTAGGGTAAGGTGGCGTAGAATCTGTATGGATAGAATTGATGAATCGCAAAGGTAAAAAAAACCACAGTTGGGGTTGTGTACAGGCCTCCAAACAGTAGTCAGGAGCTGGGGCGCACGATACACCAGGAGATAGAAAAGGTGTGTAAAAAAGGCAAAGTCACAGTGATCATGGGGGATTTCAATATGCAAGTGGATTGAGAAAATAATGTTGGTAGTGGATTGCGAGAAAAGGAGTTTGTGGAATTCTACAAGATGGCTTTTTGGAACAGCTCGTGGTGGAGGCCACAAGGGAACATGCAATACTGGATTTAGTGTTGTGCAATGAGGCAGACTTGATAAAGGAGCTTAAGGTAAAGGAACCCTTAGGAGGCAGTACTCGTAAGATGATAAAATTTCCTCTGTAATTTGATTGGGAGAAGATAGAATCAGAAGTAACAGTATTACAGCTGAATAAAGGTGACTACAGAGGTATGAAGGAGGAACTGGGCAGAATTGACTGGAAGAGGAGCCTAGAAGGAAAGACAGTGGAACAGCAAAGGCAAGAGTTTCTGGGAGTATTTCAGGAGACGCAGCAAAAATTCATCCCTAGGAAAAAGAAGCATTGTACAGGGAGGATGAGGCAACCATGGCTGACTAAGGAAGTCAGGGATCGCATAAAAGCAAAAGAGGAAGCATATAATGTGGCGAAGAGCAGTGGGAAACCAGAGGACTGGGAAGCTTACAAAGACCAACAGGGGGCAACAAAAAAGAAATAAGGAGGGAGAAGATTAAATATGAGGGTAAGCTAGCCAGTAATATCAATGAAGATTGTAAGAGCTTCTTTAGGTACATAAAGGGCAAAAGAGAGGCAATAGTGGACATTGGAACACTGGAAAATGACAGTGGAGAGATAGTAGTGGGGAACAAGGAAATGGCTGAGGAACTGAATAATTACTTTGAGTCAATCTTCCCGGTGGAAGACACGAGTAATATCCCAAAAATTCGAGAGTCGGGTCAGAGCTGAGTATGGTGGCCATCACCAAGGAAAAGGTGCCAGTAAAACTGATTGGCCTGAAGGTGGACAAATCACCTGGACCAGATGGACTACACCGAGTTCGAAAGGAGATGGCCGAAGAGACAGTGGGAAGCGTTATTGGTGATCTTTTGGGAATCGCTGGAGTCAGGGAGGGTCCCGGAGGACTGGAAAATCGTTAACGTGACACCCCTGTTTAAAAAAGGAGTAAGGCAAAAGACAGAAAATTACAGGCCGATTAACCTAACCTCGGTCGTGGGCAAGATTTTGGAGTCCATTGTAAAAGAAGAGATTTCTGAATATTTGGAATATTTGAATATAGTAAAAGAGGGCAAAGTCAGCATGGCTTTGTCAAGGGGAGGTCATGCCTGACAAATCTGCTAGAATTCTTTTGAGGCAGTAACGAGCAGGGTAGACCAAGGAGAGCCAATGGATGTTATCTACCTGGACTTCAAGAAGGCCTTTGATAAGGTGACACACAGGAGGCTGCTGAGTAAGATAAGGGCCCACGGTGTTACAGACAAGGTGCTAGCGTGGATAGAAGATTGGCTGTCTGGGAGAAAGCAGAGAGTAGGAATAAAGGGGTCTTTCTCGGGATGGCAGCCGGTGACGAGTGGTGTTCCACAAGGGTCGGTGCTGGGACCACAACTCTTCACTTTGTACATTAATGATCTAGATGAAGGAACTGTGGGCATTCTGGTTAAGTTTGCAGACGATACAAAGGTAGGTGGAGGGGCAGGTAGTATTGAGGAGGTGGCGAGGCTGCAGAAGGATTTGGACAGGTTAGGAGAGTGGGCAAAGAACTGGCAGATGGAGTACAACGTGGAAAAGTGTGAGGTCATGCACTTGGGTAAGAAGAATAAAAGTATGGACAATTTTCTAAATGGGGAGAAAATTCAGAAGTCTGAAGTGCAAAGAGACTTGGGAGTTCTAGTCCAGGATTCTCTCAAGGTAAACTTGCAGGTTGAGTCAGCAGTCAGGAAGGCATATGCAATGTTGGCATTTATTTTGAGAGGACTTGAATATAAAAGCAGGGATGTACTACTGAGGTTTTATAAGGCTCTGGTCAGGACACATTTGGAGTATTGCGTGCAGATTTGGGCCCCATATCTCAGGAAGGATGTACTGGCCCTGGAGCAGGTTCAGAGGAGGTTCACAAGAATGGCCCCAGGAATGGAAAGCTTAACATATGAGGAACGTTTGAGGACTCAGGGCCTATACTCACTGGAGTTTAGAAGGATGATGGGGGATCTAATTGAAACTTTCAAAATACTGAATGGCCTGGACAAAGCGGATGTTGGGAAGATACATCCATTGGTAGGAGAGTCTAGGACCCGAGGGCACAGCCTTAGAGTAAGGGGAAGACCTTTTAGAACAGAGGTAAGGAGAAACTTCTTCAGCCAGAGAGTGGTGAATCTATGGAATTCACTGCCACAGAAGGCTGTGGAGGCCAGGTCATTGAGTACGTTTAAGACTGAGATTGATAGGTTCTTGATTATCAAGGGTTACAGGGAGAAAGCAGGAGAATGGGGTTGAGGAACTTATCAGGGAATGGCGGAGCAGACTTGATGGGCTGAATGGCCTAATTTCTGCTCCTGTGTCTTATGGTCTTAAGCAGGGCCCGTGCGACCTTTTTGAAGGAACTATTAAACATTGCATGGTTTTTCAATGAGGTGGAGAGTATATTTCAAAATCTAAAAAATATGTTTGAACTACACATCCGGTATCAGGGTTATGCAGGACAGCCACGATGGACCAGAACACCTTTTCTAGTCTGATAATCTTTACCCTTTTATAGACCATTTCGAACATGGCCAGAACATTTGTGATACTCTCTTTGTGATAGTAATGCACCTCCTGGTTTCTCAAAAACACTTGCCTGCTGCCAGCCAGAGTGTAGGATCCTTCTTAAATTAATTGCCAACTTTCGACTTGAGATACTGAGTGAACCATTATGTCTTATGCCTTCCATTGTGGTGAGTGGCATGCTGTTGCTCGTGGAGCATGTGACGGCTCCCTGAACTGTATTGATGAGTTCAGTATATAAAAATAGTTCAGCGCCCTGATGTTGACTAAGAGTCGATGCCATAATTTAAGAATGTTTAGAAATAATTTTTATTGACTGCAACTAATTATCTAACACCTCATGTTTTAAAACTATATAATAATATGGGTTAAGGATCAAAGATTGGTATTTTGACTGTCAGTTTAAAGAAATTGGAAACCTTTTGGAGGACTTGTTGCAACTTATTAAGGTTGTTTCTTGGAACTCTTCTTATTATTTTAGTTAGCAAAGTTGACTGACTGTAAGACCCTAATTCCTGTAACTATACTGCTGCGTTGCTAAAACATCTAGAGGGACTTCAACCATGGTTGTGCTACAGTGATATATTGAAAACCTAATACAGTAGTGCCATCCATCAAACTTACGAAGCAGATAAATTACTGAAATATCTTTGTCTTTTTTTTGTTTGTGCACTTTCTATCGTGGAATTCATTACCCTTGTGATTCTGAAGTTAACTTTTAGAACAGCTAAAATATGGATTTTGTTTTTTGTCTTCCATGGCACTTGTCAGTTGCTCCCTATCTTGTGCAAATAGTGTGTAAAATGTCGGGAGCCACCAACTAGATATTGGTTTAAAGACCCTCAGCTATTTAGCTCTTCTCCTGTCTGCTTTTTAAAAGAAAAATTAGAATGCATAGTCCAATTTCAATTCTGTTTAATTGGAAAAGACTTCTGGAAATTAGGTCCCAGGGAACAATAATCAAACCAGCATATTGTGGGAATGTGTTTAGATGGGTTGGTTTCTTTAGAGGATGGCAGTTTGCCATTTTGACATTTCATCAGTATTATCTTGAATAATATTTAACTTAACATTATAGCATTAGT